GTACAATGAGTTTTCATCATCCCCAGTCTAAATTCAACATCACCTTCACTTGTACAGACTTCTCGCTCCTGGTTGGGGCAAGCTTGATCGACAGCCAGGCTCAGAATTAGGGCAGACTAAATACAACTTGGATAAGGAAAGTATAAATCCGCAAGATATGAATTCAAACCTTTTATTTGCAATGATATAATTGATATATCTGGACGCTACAGAACAGGCATACAAACAAAAATTACAACAACATTGCACAGATATGGTTATCAAGTTTAACCAACAATATACAAAAAAATAACACAGTACTAGTAAACAAGGAATCAATATCACAAAACACAAAACCATGTACCGTATATTACCGTAGATAAGCCAATCTCACAGATAAGCAGAGATCCTAACTTGACCCTTAAAATCTGTATCAAAATGGTATGTCCCGTACATTAGCCAACCTACCAACCTTCGTTCATATTCTCGTCGTCAATCATCGGAAACAGAGTATCAACAAACCCCTTCTACAGTCCTCAAAATTCGGCTTATCTACGGTAATATACGGTACGTGACATAAAAATAAAAATAAATAAATTTACAGGTCATTGTTGAATAGACCTTGCATACACGAGAGCAATGTATTGTTAATTGTTGGAATATTGTATCGCTAGCTTTTTCACTGCTTGGCATGAATATATTTCCTATTCGAAACTGACAGCAAACCTGTACAATTATTTAACATGTCGTGCTTGATGTGACACAATGACATTTGGGGAAAGTGGTCTACAAGCTATACATACTCCAGTGTGATTCTAGTGAGTGAGTGAGTATATAGTTTTATGCAGTATGCCAGCAATATCACAATAAGGCTTCACATGTTGTATCCATGTGGGGCATTGCAGAGGGGTCATTTACTTTGTACATAAAGTTTAGTGTGTGTGTGCGTGCGGGCGGGTGTGCGTATGTGTGCGCGCGAGTGTTATTCACATTGTACATGCTTCTCCATAAAAAGCATCATCACTCCCCCACCCACCCCAGCCATAAATTATGAACGGTCCCTAATGTAGATAAAACTTGTAATAAGTGTTCATTCTATGGTGCATGTATACATGCATAATGCATGCCCAAAATGCATAAAATAAGAAGTCATTTGGAGAAAAATATTCTTAAAGAGATAAGTTTTGAGATGTGAGTTGAAAGCAGACACCTCACTGCCGTCATGGGGGTGTTGTGGTTGACTGTACCTGGCGATGGCCCCTAAATATGTAATGGAACGTTTTCCATAGCATGAAGTTTCAGGGGAAGTAACTCCCTTACTGCAGTCATGGGGGTGTTGTGGTTGACTGTTCCTGGCAATGGCCCCTAAATATGTAATGGAACGTTTGCCATAGCATGAAGTTTCAGGGGAAGTAACTCCCTTACTGCAGTCATGGGGGTGTTATGGTTGACTGTTCCTGGCAATGGCCCCTAAATATGTAATGGAACGTTTTCCATAGCATGAAGTTTCAGGGGAGGTAACTCCCTTACTGCAGTCATGGGGGTGTTATGGTGGACTGTTCCTGGCAATGGCCCCTGAATATGTAATGGAACGTTTGCCATAGCATGAAGTTTCAGGGGAAGTAACTCCCTTACTGCAGTCATGGGGGTGTTATGGTGGACTGTTCCTGGCAATGGCCCCTAAATATGTAATGGAACGTTTGCCATAGCATGAAGTTTCAGGGGAAGTAACTCCCTTACTGCAGTCATGGGGGTGTTGTGGTTGACTGTTCCTGGCAAAGGCCCCTAAATATGTAATGGAACGTTTGCCCTCGAGTGTTGTTGAGTGTGTTGATTCAGGGGAAGTAACTCCCTTACTGCAGCTGTCATAGGGGTGTTGTGGTCGACTGTTCCTGGCAATGGCCCCTGAATATGTAATGAATTTTCCATAGTGTGTTGATTCAGGGGAAGTAACTCTCACAACACATCTCAATTATGGTATTCCAAGGTCAGACACAATTACCCAACATGGTTCTTTATTAGTGCACAAGAACACAACTGGAAATAAAACATGTAACAACATATCTTAAAATCTTCACCTAAAAAGCTACATGCTCTTTGCTGCTTGTACTTAGGCACAACAAAGCTGACATTTCTTGTCTATTTTTTTCCCCATATTGATCAGTTAATCTGATGAATAAGCCAATCTTTTCGTGTAAGCCCGATGGGTTGCAAAGCTTTATATTTAGATAGTATTGAGGGCTTGCCCAACCTTATAGCAACAATTATATGTAAGCCCGGGCTTTTTTTTTCAGAATGGTAGCTACGCCCCTGATGTTGTTCCATACATCTTTGTTTTATTGTTACTATGATAATAATTGCATCACTGAATACACACTACGGTGAAATGATACAGCCAGGTCATGATACCATATGTATCACGATACGTAGGCCATGATATGATAATATCACAATACAAATTATGCACAGGGATGTGAATTTCATGGATTTTGTAAAAGGGTCACAGTCATAAAATGTGCCATTTTTATAAAAAAATTATATATCTCTCCAGGCAGGATTCCCTTTCAGTTTGGTATTTGAAAAATTTCTGAAACATTTTCATCCCAATCTTTAGCTACATTTTACCAGAAAGAAACATGCAATTTTGTCCACTAGTCTGAAGCCTGCATCAAGTAAAATTGTGGTCTAATAAGCTTAGCTGATAATGGTCCATATTTTGTCACTGAATTCTACTAAAAGTGATGCCAAGAGGCAGGTACTGCCTATTAAACTTATAAGGTTTTCACTGCATGGTATCTTATGAACACTACAGCCTCACTCATGACACAGTGATCACTAGAGGTTCCCTCGTTAGACTGAAGCCTTTAGCTGTGCTTTAACACGTTTAATGTATATACACCAAAATTGGATAAAATCTACATGAGTAGACAATAATTAAAATGATACAGCAAGATCACGATACGATACATAACATGATACATATATCGCAATGCAATACATATCGGGATACATATATTCACATCAAATTGTGTGGAAATTTCTTGACTACATGTAATAAAATTTCGTGAATATTTCAAAGCAGGTTCAAAAAGAAATGCTAGCTGTAGATGCATGTCCATCATGACTGGTTTTAGTTGTAAATTTGAATTTGAGATATTTGGCAGAGAAGATGTGTGATAGGGGGATTCAGTAAACAAGTAGTAAGGCTTTAAGCAAGTGTATGTTGTTGTGTCGTAAACAACAAAAAATGTATTATGTATCATATCGCTGCATGAAAACTCATGATGCACAGAGGCTTTTTCCATCCAACAAGCAGGAGAAAATTTCATTAATATTACTTAAAAATCTGTATGGTTTAATCATGTTGAATAATACTTCGACCATAACAAGTCAATGTATTTTGTATCAGAGGTTTGTTCTCTAGACAGTGACAAGACACTGTATGTAATGGATTTAATCAAGTACTATTTAACATGAGTTCCTTCACATGTATGAACTTGTATGTTTATTTTTTAAAGATGTTGAATAAAAAACATATGTTACCTGCATTTTTACTTCATTTTCAGATTGTGAGCTTTGGCGAATTTATAAAACACAAAATTCAGAGATTTCTCTGAAACATTTGGTGTCAGTCGATCACATAAAGATGGCATATCGTTGCCAACAAACCGAGATTTAGGTTTTGAGCCTGCTACTGCAGATGGTCATCCCTTTGTCAAACGAATATGTACACACCACACAACCTAATAAAAATAAAATATATATTAATAAAATCAAGAGTCCATACAAAATGTATCTAACAAAATTGTGTATTGTTTATCGATTTATGGTCATATATGACAGCAAGCATTTGGTTCTGGTGATAAACTGGTAAAAGTGATGCATGTATCTACAAACAGGAATCTCTGAATTCTGAAAACCCTCTTAAAACGTTTGGATACATTGTCAAAGTAAATTTCCAAATGTGTACCTGGTACATATAACAAGTGAGTAGCAAATAACTACCCGGGGTATATTGTCACAAAACAATGCCTACTTCTTCTACCTATCTGAATCTCCACACCATCTAGGGCTGGGACGATTCACCGATACATCATGATACATTTAAGTTTGATACAGCTATCGTATCGTTGACTAGTGTATCGATACAAAACGATACACGACTTTTTTCAAAACAGTAATTTTTTAAACATGTTAAAGTACGTATTTAGAGAAAAATACGCAAGCATGATAGAGTTACTTGTTTGTTTATTATAATAGTGTTATTGTTATACACAAATACCTTGAAATAGATCATTTTAAATCTTAATACTGTGTCATTCTTTCAAGGTGTATGTATCGTATCTATCATATCGCAGGTAAAATATCGCGATAGGTATCGTATCGTGACATAGTGTATCGTCCCAGCCCTAACACCATCCCACCCAATCCTCTCATACATTTCTCAAACTGCCCACCCTTAACAGCCACCTGAATCTACCCATCTTTTCTACCTGTGAATATACACACCCTTTCTAATTGTTCTCCTCTCTATTTAACCAACGCTAAATGTTCATAGTAACAAGTCATATTAAACATAAGTCTGTTACCTGAAAGAAATAATGGAATCCCCACGACAATATTCTAAATAAAGAAAACTCACCATTCCCAGACGCTGCAAAAAACAATGGAACAACTTCAAGTAGCGTCTGCTTACTCACACAACAGTGTGACAAAATCTGCACACACATATCACATTTCACTGAAAGTCTTGTTACCAGGCTATGGATCACAACTAGAATGTGTCATCATGGCCAAACCGCCTTTCAACTCCCGCAAAGATACTCTGAAACCCTCTGGCAATTGGATCTGTCACCTTCTTCCATGCATTCTTCATGGCTCGAAAGAATTTCTTGAAAGCGCCGCTGTCTGCGTTTTCCATCTGCTGTCTCATCTCTTGCCGCTGATGTTGCTGTGCCCTCTTGAAGTCCTCGAAGGCCTCTTCCTGCCGAGCAATGAACTTCGACCTCATCCTCTCCCTCTCTCTCTCATGCTCCATGTTGATCCTGTTGACATCTTCTCGGAGAATACTGGCCTCCTTGATAAGCCTGTCAGCCTCGTTCATCAGCTTCTCATCCTGATTCTCCTCACTTCTTGATGAACGCTGCGGGTCACGTCGCCCTCTTCCACAAATGATTTCTGTGTCTCTTTGACTTGGGGACCTGTCTTGACAGACTCCCTATGTTCACTAAGGGAAGAACTTGTCTGGTTGAAGCTTCCTGTCTGAGCTCCTGGACCGATACTGTTGGCTCCTGCAAGTGCAGACACACCATCAGCTCGTCGTTCAGCCATACCCTCACTTCTTTGCCTTTCAACTACAGGAGGTGCTTTTTCCTTGGTCTGTGATGTTCCCCCTTGCTGTACAGCAGGTCCCAGACCCAGCCAATTGTTCTCATCAGTCGGAGACAGACTTTGGTCAAAGACGTGAACCCATTCATCATCATCCTCCCTGATGCCAAGTTCCGACAGTTTTCCCTTCATCATTTCCAGTTTCCTTGCTTTCTCTTCCTCCTTCTGGCGGAGCTCTTCCTCTGCTTCTTGTCTCAGTCTCTCCATTTCCTTCATCATCTTCTCCCGACTGATCTTGATCTGCTTCTCTTCATGTTCGGCAAAGATCTTCTCGGCTTCTTCGTACATCTCGTTGGTGTAATGGCCACCACCGTTAGCCTTGACCATGGAGTCCACTGATCGGAGCAGGTTCTGTACATCCTGAAGCGCAAAACACACATGTCAGTGAGTTGGTGGGTGTGTGGATGGGTGAGTTGGTGGGTGAGTTGATGTGTGTGTAGATGAGTGAGTGGATGGGTGTTGATGATTGAGTGGATGTGGTTGGTGAGTTGGTGGGTGATGTGTTGATGATTGAGTGGATGGGTGAGTTGGTGGTTGAGTGGATGGGTGTTGATGATTGAGTGGGTGAGTGGTGGATGGGTGTTGATGATTGAGAGGATGGGTGAGTTGGTGGGTGAGTGGATGGGTGTTGATGATTGAGTGGATGTGTGAGTTGGTGGGTGAGTGGTGAGGTGTGGTGAAATTGGTTTAACGTCGTGCTTGAGAATATTTCGCTCATATGACGACGTGCATGCGTGTGTATGTGTATGTGCGGCTGCTTGTACTAGCCCAGACTTAAGCTGGTTTTATAGTGCTAGCCCACTGAGATACCACGCCGCAGTGAAGCATGAATACCCCACTCAGACACATTATACTGACTCCGAGCCGACCAGTCCTTGTCGTACCCATTAATGCAGAGCGCCAGGCAGGGACCAACAAGTAAGGATTGGTGTTGATGATTGAGAGGATGGGTGAGGTGGTGGGTGAGTGGATGGGTGTTGATGATTGAGTGGATGGGTGAGTGAGTGGATGGGTGTTGATGATTGAGTAGATGGGTGAGTGGATGGGTTGAGTGGATGGGTGAGTTGGTGGGTGAGTGGATGGGTGTTGATGGGTGATGATGATTGAGTATATGGGTGAGTTGGTGGGTGAGTGGATTGGTGTTGATGATTGAGTGGATGGGTGAGTGGATGGGTGTTGATGATTGAGTGGATGGGTGAGTTGGTGCGTGATTGTATGGGTCAGTGGACGGGTGGGTGTTGATGATTGAGTGTGATGATTGGTGAGTGAGTGTATGGGTGAGTGGACGGGTGGGTGTTGATGATTGAGTGGATGGGTGAGTTGGTGGGTGAGTGGATGCGTAGGTTGATGGGTGAGTTGGTGGGTGAGGGGATGGGTGAGTGGATGGATGAGTAGATGGGTGTTGATGATTGAGTAGATGGAGGAGTTGGTGGGTGAGTTAATGGGTGTTTGGGGTATGTACGCATGTGTGAGTGAGTGAGTGTGTGAGTGTACATCCTCATGGAAGTTTGTGAGTGAGGTACATACTTTGTCTACTGGATTACTGTCCAAAGTGGCATTATTGATCACTAATTTTTTCACCCACTTAGTCAGTCATCCAGTACCCAAAGGTATGCAAATCTCAGCTGTTTACTACTTGTATGAAACCTACAAGGATGGGAGTGGTGCTGACAAACATGGTCACAACAATTGGACCCTCATGTATACATGTGGAAATGTGAATCCTTCAGTGAAATGATTTACCTGACAGATATCATTAGTGCAATCAACATATCATTTACAATTGTTACTTGTAAGAGAAAACTAAGATCAAATGGTCAGACCCACTACTTTAGTTGGTGCTACAAAACTGAGCACAAATTTCAAATAGATTTCATACCAGTGAACTAGGCGAAATGGTCTAAGGCTAAATATAGACCCATTGTATTCTGGTGTCTATGTATCTTTAGTCCTTTTGATATTTTAGCTGAATCACATATTATTGAGGAGGTTGAAATTGCATTTTCACATTTTATTTGCAAATGTGTAACCATGGTAACAAAAACGTAAAATTTGGTTGGCATCTACATCACTAAAATACTGAATGGACAGGTCCTAAAGAGGCAGAACAATAATTCATTCACTCACTCATAGTGAGAGTTGCATTGCAGTCAGTATTAACGTACCTTTTCTATTTCTTGCTCTGAACCCCTGTTGTCAATACCCAGGTATCTGTGATGGCAATTCTCCAACAGCTTCTTCAGATTCTCTGGAACATTGCTGACATACTCATCCAAACTGACCCCATCATGCTTCAGGTCGTCCATCCTTGTGAACAGCACGGTCAGATAATTCAGCATCTCCTTCCCGAAGATGTTGATGAAGTGGTTCACTGTATCATTCTCCTCCTGGGTGAATCTGTCCAGTCGAATGACCATGACAAAGGCGTGAGGTCCCTGGCGAGGTCATACCGATACACTTGACCACCTCCTGCGTGATGGCCTCGTTGGACATGCCAGTATCGAACAGTCCTGGAGTATCGATGACCTGAAGCTCCCGACCAAAGCGACTTCCCCAGCCCAACTGACACTTTTTGGTAATGGAGCTGCCGCTGGCACTGGACTTAAAGGTCTTGCTGGACAGGATGTTGTTGCCGGTGGTGCTCTTGCCAACTCCGGTCTTCCCCAACAACACAATCCTCATCTCGTTGTCCAGGAAGGACCATTCGTCTTTCTCTGCTGCAAGACATGGAGAGAATACTGTGTCAGTTGAGAAAAAGAAACTGAGCAATCTCATGATACAATCTCATGATACAATCTCATATATCATGAAAGTCTTGTCACATGGAAAGGCTGGGTTAGGCTGAGTAAGTGTGTGAGTTTAGTTTTACGCCACACTCAGCAATATTCCAGCTATATGGGAGCAGTCTGTAAATAATCGAATCTGGACCAGACAATCCAGTGATGAACAACATGACCATCGATCTACATGAGTCAACCATGTCAGCAAGCCTGACCACCCGATCCCCAAAGTTGCCTCTAAGGACCAGCATGGGTTACTGAAGACCAATTCTAACCCTGATCTTCACGGTGCTTGGTTAGAGTTGCTTGCCATCAACCTATGCTGGTGTTATGGATTGGGTGTATAAAGTTGGTGACATATATGACTGTGTGTCATCGAACCTCAAAAGCTTGGATTGATGCTCACAACATCAACCACTGGATCACCGACTCCAGATTCCACAGTACAGACTAACGTCAAATGGCTGTAATACTGGAAAGATATACAAATTCCAGCTATTATAGAGCAGCCTGTAAATATTTGAAATCTGACCCAGATCCAGTGAATGATATTGATCCACGTCATTAGAGTCTGATGACATCCAATCAACAAAGACCATCTCCCTAATCCATTAAAAGTTCTTGCAACCAGCACTGGTTATTGAGGACCTATTCTATCCCAGGATCTCCATGGGTCCCCAAGTAGTACACTCTTTGAGGTTTTGATGCCATGGAACTCTGGTCTAAATATCCACAACATGGACAGGTCACTAGTATACTTCATTAACAACTGCCTGGTTAGGCCTAATAAAAAAATGTTGTGGTTCTGATTACCTGACCGACCCTTTGAATTCTGGTGCTGACCCTAGTTTTATAAGAGGTATGAATAAAATAAGCTTTCAGATACCATTGTGTTTTCCCGGCACCAAAGGACATGATGGCCGTGAGCTTGATTGAATAAACAATTACACATTGATAAATGTGTTATTAGTTTGTACTTTACTTCTAAAAATAAGATTTTAAAAAAAAGAATTGCTAAGTACCTACCCTAAATTTTAAAGAGGTGTAATCAGAACCACAACATTTGTTTTATTTGGCCTTAAGTTCAGAAACTAGATGCACAGCTTCAGTGCTTCTCTTGCTCATGCTGAGAAGAAGCATTCACTTTGATCAGAAAATTCAAATGGGGCAACCACCTACTGGGAGAAGAAAATTGAGAGAAAAGTATGAGATTTCAATGACATTTAAAAAAACACTGATTCAGTAAAGGTTACAACAACCCTCTCATGGCAGGAAAATTTGGATTAAATTTTTAAATTTTTTTTAAAATTGGGATATTATTAAAAGTTCCTATTTTAACATTAAAATTTCAGATTGCATTCAATACAAGTAAGTATTAAAATATCTTCCTGCCTATGGGAAGGGCATGAAAAAATGACACAATATTTTGTTTTCAAATATAAATGTTATACACTTGGAAATTATTTATATTGTTCATGGTCTGGACTTGACACATTCTCTTCCCACAGAGGTTACTTATCATATCTTCCTACAAACCTCTGTTCTAATATGGCCATATTTCAAGGTTATCGTAAAATCCCCTAGCAGCAAAAAATCGCAACACAAATTATCTCCCTTCTTTCTATCCAATCAGAACACGTGTTACATCGACTTAGATCAAACTGGACTAATGCAAGTAAATATGGGGCCACAAATATCCCTCCTCTGCCGGGGACATATGTTAATGTGACACACAAGACATTTGATGGCTAGCTTGTCCGTTGTCAACGAGGGCGATGGAGACGCCATTGATCCGCCATTACACGACTGAGTTCTGTCTAGAAGAAACGTTTGCGCATCTCGCAGGGGAAGAGGTTCTAGTTTTCCCGAAGCATACGGAAATTACCGAGGCCTTGCGATTGATCACATTTGAAACAACGTCGCTGATTGCACAACTAAATCTGATTGCAACCAATCATGAATCCTGAACACTCGCACCATGAAAGGGCTGTATTAGAACAGAGGTTCGTAGGAAGATATGACAAGTAACCTCTGTGGGAAGAGAATGGACTTGATAGTGATGGCCAGGGTCATGGAAAAATGTATTTTGGGGAAATGGTACAAAAACTTCAGTCCCAATAAATTTTCATCACTTGATTCCACTGATAACATACTTACATTTTTCCGGCGAAGGGAGGCACATGGCAGCTTCAATCTCTTCTGGTTCTGACATGGGGGACTCGATGCTTCCATTTGTGTCAGCACTGTGTACCACCATTGGCGCCAACGGTTCTGGGAGTTCTGGAACTGGGGCACCTGCCCCTTCTTGGCTTCCATTGGTCAGCTGATCAGCAGGATTACTGGAACCCGACACATTGGTTTCCATGGAGTCGATCGACTGTCTGTCTGCGTGCTGCTGAGTTTGCCCGGGTGTGCAGATAACGGCATTTCCAGAATTGGTGGAATTGTTTCCATTGGTGGAAACACCTTCCATTGGCCTGGCTGTGTCACCGGCTGGTGATTGTCCTGGACCTTCTGTCACAGCAGAGTCAGGACGTCTTTCAGTTCTGTCAAGGGGCATGTTTTCATCTTGCTGTCTGCAGTCAAGGTGACGGAGCTCGGCGGCCTCCTTGGGGGCTTCGCACATCTCGCAGTTGGACATGAGCTCATGGTTGACGAACGTACACCGCCCACAGGTCCACTCTGGATGAGCCAAAGAATAGATGGATTAAGGCCCTGACATTCATTGTGAATGGAAATACAGTGAAGCCTCGTTAATCCGGACGGTTGCGTTTCTCAGCAAATTTGTCCGGATTGCGAATAGTCTGGACTACTGAATCAAGACCCAAGTTCAAGCAAGCGTTGCTTCCCTTACTATTACAAAAACGACACGAATCTGGATAAAACAAATAAGCATTTAATGTAAAGCTTATAAAACAATGAATAGCAAGCACAACAATAATCTATAGTCATAGCAAAAAGTCTTTCATTGTTGTTAGTGTTCGTTTAACCTTCCTCATTGAATTCATCACATGAATAATTTTACCGAGTGACATCCGCATGTTGATCCGACAAAGTACAAAGTGTGACAAGAACCCTCCACACTCACACACGCACACACACACATTTTCTCTTTCACACATGCTCGTGCACACACATACACACACTCACTCATTGATGTTAGCAACTCAGCACATGACAAATCAAACACACAAAGATCTAGGTGATAACAACTCAGGTTCCTGAGATTGTGAAAGGGTTGTTCAGCACCAATCCCTATTAAGTAATGATATCACTACAAGTGCCCTGACTCTGTATTAAAGCTTAGTTGTGTATCTCAAGGCCAGGTTGTGCTCATTTGTGGCTTGTGCTGTTACAGAAATCAGGGAACTCTACAGCAACAACAAAACAGACTTACTGATCTAAGTGATCTATCAAAAATTTTCTAATCCTAGCCAGTATTTTATATATAGATGCAAGGTTTCTGACTCTGAGTTACGTTTTATGCATTTTAAGATTTGTTGACTGGTTTGTTGTTTAATGCCACACTCAGCAATATTCCAGATATATGGCGGCGGTCTGTAAACAATCCTGTGATCAACAGCATGAGCATCGATCTACGATCTACGGAATTGGGATGCGATGACGCGATGAGCCTGACCATTCGATCCCGTTAGTCGCCTCTTACGACAAGCATGGGTTACTGAAGATCAAATCTAACCCAGGGCATTTTAAAAGGAAGCTTAATATAAGATATATTATTGAAAAGTCTATCCATTTCAGCAATAATTCCATGAATAAGTTTTATACCAAGTGGATGATATAACACTCTCTATTTGATGAGAGCTAACTTCGCTATGTGGGTTTCAAATATATATATTTATTAACAGTTTATCTGTTTATGCCTTCAGTGCTTTAATATCTTGTCATAATATATGTGTGAATGTGTGTGTAAAAGGTGTATTGGTTTTTGTCTTATGGCAGAAACTCTGAATTTCCTGTTACAAAAACAATTTATTTAGGAGTAACTCTCTGCAGCTTGTTCATGTTTTCAGCTTTTATGATATCTGTCACCAAACGTATTCAATTTAAATGCTCAGTTCCTGACTCTGTGGAACCATGGCTCAAGAGTCTTACCCTGTAACCATGGTAACAGGAAAGGCATAAATAATAATGTCAATAACAAAAGAAATTATAATTTTCAGACGGGCCCATGTGTTTTGGGGCAGTGGGGTAGCCTAGTGGTTAAAGTATTAGATCGTCACACCGAAGATCTGGGTTTGATTCCCTACATAGGTACAATGTGTCAAGCCCATTTCTGGTGTCCCTTGCAGTGATATTGCTGGAATATTGCTTGAAGCGGGACAAAACCAAACTCACTCACTTCATTTATGTTGGCATAAGCTTAGGAAAATATGAGTAATGCACATGTTTAATGTTTACTGAAGACAAAGACACTGTTTGAAAGTAGCCCTTGTATGACAATAATCATATAGTTACAGGTATACCTTAATATTATCATGACAGTGATTGCATTTGACCTAAAAGAAATGAATATATTTTCACCTGTGATGAAAGACACTCAGAACGATGTCACGGTGTGCCCTAAACATACTTTGCGTGTGGAACTGGAATGATATTTTTTGCCCATCATTAAACCCGATAAAAGTGATTTCATTAAAGTTAATAATAAGTATGATAAGTATTTTAAGTCTGATAAGTTTGTGATCTTCACTAATACTGGTAACAGCTCTTTCCATTTCCGAAATACAAAATATTTTCAATGAATTGTACTGTTATTCACAAGATAATCAGTTTTCCATGTGTTTGTCACGTCGATTCAGGAATTGTAAAAATATAAAATTAAAACAGTGCCATCTACACACAAGGAACTTAACCATGCCATTGTCACTACGATACAAGCAATTTGAACCCTGCTTCCGGTAAATTACTAGGTACAACCGCAGTGTATGAAATAAGCCAAAAAGACAGCTAGACATTAGGGCTGGTAACTTAGGAATGTAACCAGCCCGGCCCGGCCCGGCCCAGCCCAAAATGGATTTAACCACACCAGACACCAAGATGTATGGAACATCTAAATTTTTTACCAGACCATCGTGCTGGCTTGTTGTAAATTCAGTCTGTCCGTTAGAAATCATGCTCATCTCAGGCGGTTGGACAGGCCTTATTTCATACACTGACAACAGCCATGTTTTTCATACATATATTTTTTACTCTCTGATCGTGATTTTATTATTTAGCTGCCACGGTGATGCATATAGCTCGAATTATGGTTTAATGTCATGTTAACCAACAAACACAAAGAATTATGATATCAAAGAATGACAGTGATCACTTACCAGACATTATGGAAATCTTTGTCTTTTCAGCAGTTGTCACGTCCTTTCTGGGAAAGTAAAACGAAAGTGACTATAGGCTAACTGAATTGATATTTTTTTCTAAACTGTTTCTGTGGACTGTATTTCAAAGTGGCTGATATAAATATGTATAATTACGACATGTCTATAGAAACTATAGCACAGATTGCGTCAGAATGTATGACTCGACAAGTCAGTGGTCAAGTAAAGACACTTCAACCAAAATGAATCAGGATACAGTAAGCTCCGAAATCTACTACACGTATAAATATTAAAATAGAATATTACGACATGCCGTGTTACGAAAGACATGCAGTTGTGACATGATCCTTAAACTTAAACACAATAGACTCTAGTTAGGATTAACACCATGTTGATACAATAGTCCCTTCGTACTCGTGAACAGAAGTAAGACATTACAATAACACTTCCGGACCCTACTAAGATGGCTGCGCTCTCAGTAGATAACTGTAAACATAAACACAACGGAAGGGCGAACTTGACAGCGGCTTGAATGTTACTTCTGTTGTTATAACGGCTCGAAGCGGGATTTACATATAGGGATTTAGTCGATGTCAGGATAATGATAAAAAAAAACGTCTTACTCACTTGGGTGGTGTCCCTGTTTACGTGTTATTGTTGAACTGTGGAGGTGCTGACACCATATCACATGCGCAGTGAGTAATATTGACGAAACTGGGGAATCCCCTTGCAAAATATCACGTGACCCGATTAGTTAAGTAGGATGGTTCGCGGCTTTCAATGCGCATTCTCAATTTATGTTATGATGAGACGGGGCCAAGCCTTCGTCTACATCGTCTTAAAGAAAATAATTTACTGATACAAGTTCAATTTTGTTTGTCTTACTGTACATTGGCCCAGAAATCTCAAATGAAAAATCAGTCTATCTGTGTTAATGTTATATGATATTTAGTTGAGGGCCTATGGATTTATTTGTGGGTGTTTTGACTATGGGTTGTCTTCGTTTCGACTTCACTTTTTGAGCTTATTCTGACATAAGGTCATTTTGACCTGCTACCAAATATTTCCCCGTTTGATTAAAATACGTTTTTAAAAACATATCTGCTTATAGCTGTAATTATTCAGGCAAAGTTTTATAGGGCATGCCAGCTGCTGACGATTAACTGCGCACCCCAAATTTCTTTCCCGATAATAAAGTATTAGTGTTATCTTATCCATTCTATTCAACATGGAAGTTTAGGGGAGCCTACAGAGCAGAACAGGTTAGCGGGGATTGGTTGGGAGAACATACAAAATCCTGGGTCGTTGATTGTTTCGTGAATTTAATTATTTCTGTGTGCCAAGCGCAGCGCTAAAATGGGGCGGTGTGGTAGACTAGTGGTTAAAGCACCGGGTTTGATTCCCCGCATGGATACAATGAGTGAAGCCCATTTCTGGTGTCCCCCGCCTTGATATTGCCGGTATATTGCTAAAAGAGGCGAAGAACTAAACTCACTCACTCACACAGCGCTAAATTTACGATCGTATGGCTGTCAGACATTGTTTGCGAAAACATTTACTCGATTATTCTAACACGACATTTTGTAAAAATTTCTTTCCGGACACAATTATTGATTGCCAATGTTTTAGGCCGATTCGCATAAGATATGATATCTCAACGTGAACGGGTACGAAAACAATCGCTTTTGGCAATATTCCAGCAATATCACAGCGAAGGACACTAGAAATGGACTTCACACATTTTACCCATGAAGAGAATCGAACCATGGGTCTGTGACGAGCGAGCGACATAACCACTAGGCTACCCCATCGCCCCTCTCCAAATAAGAAAAACGTTATTAAAAATTCTTTTCATTGTATAACCTTTTTTAATGGAATTTAGTTCACTTGTTAAAATTCTTTAATTATTTATGATTGAGATCGAGTTGCTTCCTTCGGAAACAACGCTTTAATGAATAAAGATGAAGAAATATTATTTGCTGACTTTTTTTTCTTTTTTCTTTATGGGTGTGTAAGGGTATAAGAGTATATAGAGAATCTCACTCCGGTGTCTACTGATATTAATTATATCAACATGAGTTGATAAAGTTACAAATATCCGAGGCTTGCCGAGGATATTTTACCTTTATCAACGAGTGTTGATCTAATTGATATCAGTAGACACGAGGGTGAGATTCTATTTATCATCAAAAATCATTCTTCATTAGTTTTCAATGAAAAATGTACATCTCTCAACACTGTACTACCATTAGACTTGCAGTGCAGCGATGTCATAGCATTGTGACGTCATCAAGTTAATGACATCATAGCATTGTCAGGGCATTGTACAAAATCTACTGTCAAAACGATATCTCCTAGGAGATATCATATGATCTCACACAAGCGATATCTGCTGTGGAACACAGTTTTGGATGATAATTAATTATCACATCACGTCGTTTCATGAAAAAAATTAGAATTTAAGGTTTGGCTTCTTTTTTCATTGGGGTAGTTTTGTCATTACAGGTGTCTCTGAAATTACGCCGAGACGAATTAATGGCATACTTAAAATTGATATTGAACCCCCTTGACGTAACCATCATTGGTGCCATTGTAATATTAAATGCCTCCATTATTAAGTTTCCTGATATATTCCTGACAAATTACATAGAAAAAATGAAGTTATCTAATAGTATGTTTTATTGCACTAATGTTCCGTGCATTTAAAGTGGTGTAGAACATATACTACTCACATTTTGCTAAGGATCACACAAATTCACAACGTTACTTCAACAAAGATTCATAATTTGAAATTGTATCCATTTAAAACTGGATAAATGATAATATGGTAACCCCTATTTAGGCAAACAGTCACTTTAATCTAACCTTATGCACCTGATACATGAGTGACCATAAAAATGGTTTTCAAGGCACCAATCAACCAATTTGCAAATCATGGAACGAGCCAGTGACAAGAACACACCTGTCAATAGCAGGTATGGGATCCACAAGATGAAATAACAAACTGAAACCAAGGATCCAGCTTAAAATGGGCTTAGATATTTAAACCAAATTTGACCCCACATCATAGTTTTCTGTTGAATCCATGATTTCATCCTTAGCAAAGTGTGAAAGCTATATCTTAAAAGTCATGAAAATATCAAGTTTGAATCTGTCAAGCCATGAGATAGATAATGTTATTGGCGAGGATTATTGTCGGGGTCATTTTTTCTTCCAGGAAATGGACTTTCAGATGCTTGCTTTCACATCAGAAATAGTGCACAGTGATCTGTGAACAATCCCATCGGGCATGCTGACCCGTACATACGCCGCCCCGTTGCTAGGCGACACACGTTGTTTCAAAATGGCGGCCCCAGGCTGACAACAAAGGCTTTTCAGAGTGACGATCAACCTCGTGGAAAGAGACGAATACTACACACGATGCCCGTGAAGAAGAAAGGAAAGAAAAAGGGAAAGAAAGGAGGGAAAAAGGTGGAGACGCCAGTGGGCCCGGTTGACCCCCTCAAGCCGGACTATGTTGCCCCACCCCCGAAACCAGGCGAGAAGGTGGGTGGGTCGACGCTTATGTATAGAATAGGGAAGTCGGTGGTATTTATATCTGTGAAGCGCACGAGCAGGTTTCTTTGTGGAATCTTTCGCTTTAATGTTAAATTTACACAACCTATAACTATTTTTAATGTTTGAGAATTGAGATGAATACCTGGAATTTCACACCTGTATTCTATTTTGTTTGTTATCCCAGGAAGATCACAAATTACAGCCCCTGCTTAAATATAGCAAATGTTTTCGTATCCACCCTATCGACCCAGATAGATATGTTTCATTCTATACAGCAGAAACAAGTGTCAAAAAGACTTCATGTACGCTACAACTAATGTAAACACACAGATGTTTTTGGTAAGGATATGCAACAAAGGGAAGTAACTCTGTCGATGCTTTAGCACTATACAACTACCTCTGTTTTCACACACGTTTTTTGGTAAGGATATGCAACGAAGGGAAGTAACTCTGTCGATGCTTTAGCTATACAACTACCTCTCTTTTCTCCCGTCTATTTAGCAATTGATAGATATCTAACTAAGCACAATAATATCACAGAATCCTGAATACTACTTATCATTTATGACGGGGTACACCAGAAACCTGTCTTCCGCGTGAAGAGCGAACGCTTAACCACTATACCCTACCACCCCATTCAACTTGTGACTGACTGACTGACTGAGTTTGGTTTTACGCCGCTTTTAGCAATATTCCAGCAACATCACGGCGGGGGACACCAGAAATGGGCTTCACACATTGTACCCATGTGGGGATTCGAACCCGGGTCTTCGGCGTGACGAGCCAACGCTTTAACCACTAGGCTACCCTACCACCCCATTCAACTTGTGATGATGCAGAATAAGCCCCATTGATTTTAACCTACAATGTATTTTATTCATTCAGTGTGCTCATACTATTGGTCATCAGTTTGTCTGCACACTAGGTTTCATCCTAAACCTCTCATGACACTTTGTGTTTCAATGATAACTTGGACTCCAAACAAACCAATTAATCACTTTTGCACATAAGACATGAAAATTTCGTTTCGGACAAAGGTTTGTGGAATATATAACACTTGAGATGTATATGATTACATTGCTTTTCAATATACAACTTTACAGCTGATCAAGCTGCTGACGTCACATCCGGTGGACGAGAAAGAGATTCATGGGATCAAGGTTTCTAGTCGGGTATTGAAACAGCTCACAGCACAGGAGGTCAGGGACCTCAGGGTCGTCTTTGAAATATTCGACTCAGGCAGTACTGGGTAAGGTCTAACACACATCGTGAATCAATACGACAGTTTAAAAGTACACTTAATTCAGTTTTTTCACGCTGTGAGCTTAAAGTTGGAGTAAAACCCGAGGTGATGAAGGTTTTAGACGTTTAGTCTCTGAATTTATATGGTTTTGATAGAAACAAATAAATCTATCTAAATTGAAAAGGAGCCCAGGTGACAAGAGAGCTTCAGAATCTGAGGAAATCTAGACTTGCTTCATTTAGTGCTTCAACATTGCAGAAAGGAATGAGCGGAAGGGAAAATAATGTGGTTAAGGGACTGTGAAACAGACGAACGTTAATCCCTTTGGTAAATCCTGTGAGCACAGGTATGGTGGAGACACGCTTGGAAAAAGCAGGACGACCTGGGGATTTGAAACCATGATTATATAAGTTTCATCAATGCAAGAGGAATATTCTTAAACGGGACGTTGTATCCGCCTTAGCTGTTACCGTTTTGCCAATATCTTGCTGACCGGGTGATGTAATTGATATTCTATTCAGTGAGACTATCAACCCTTATTCATGAGCTGCCTCATGTCGTATAGTTGCTGAGATAGAATGCTAATACGGGGAGTGTAATTAATCGTGTCAGTGAAGGTCACTATGATGTTTGTAATAATTTCATTATTTTCATTATCATCTATTTGGGGAGTATACAACTACTACAAGGTTAAAGGTCACATGACCTCATCCTACCGGGTACCCATTCATTGATGGCTGAACAGAGGCCCGTTACGAACAAAGACACTTACCTATGGTGACATATGTGCTACTGCCCGCCATCATATCTTGGCGAGAAATACCAACAATGCATCAGTGTATAATGACATGACTTCCATTTTTTTGTAGGTTCATCGGCCCTCTTGAACTAAAAAAGGCTATGCGTGTCCTTGGCTTCAAAATCTCTCGAGAGGAAGCGAGAAGAATGATCATGGACGTGAGTCTGAAAGGAAGAGCGTGAGTTTCGTCCGATGTGTCTCAGTATTCGATTTAAGAATCTTCCGATTGGTATATTGGGCTATAATTGTCCTGTAGTGTTTGTACAGAAGGTAAAAAAAACCTGGAAGTACAAGGACTGACTGAGTGAGTTTGGTTTTACGCCGCTTTTAGCAATATTCCAGCAACATCACGGCGGGAGACACCAGAAATGGGCTTCACACATTGTACCCATGTGGGGATTCGAACCCGGGTCTTCGGCGTGACGAGCCAACGCTTTAACCACTAGGCTACTCCACCGCCCGGAAGTACAAGGAACCGAACATTCTAGGAAGACCAATAGTGTACATAGTCACAGTGGCTTGATGATTCACGGTACTGTAGGTATTGGCTATATATACTGGAGTCTTTCAAAAGTACCTCACTCTGTACAATAAACTATGTTTTCATCAAACACACTTATGAGGTGAGGTGAGGTGAAATTGGGTTTAACGTCGTGCTTGAGAATATTTCGCTCATATGACGACGATCATGCGTGTGTATGTGAGGCTGCTTGTACTAGCCCAGACTTAAGCTGATTTTATAGTGCTAGCCCACTGAGATACCATGCCGCAGTGAAGCATGAATACCCCACTCAGACACATTATACTGACTCTGAGCCGACCAGTCCTTCTTGTAGCCATTAATGCCGGGCGCCAGGCAGGGACCAACAAGTACCATATTTTAACGTCTTTTGGTATGGCGATGTCGGGGATCGAACCAGCGACCTTCCGCTCTCCGGGCGGACGCTCTAACCACTACACCACGGAGGCAGTAAACACGCTTATGACGTTTAGAACGAAATGTTCAACGTTTGGTCCCTGTCACTTGCTTGTAACGAACTAAAATGGTACCTGTCTTCGTTACAACCGTAATTTACTGTACATAAATATATCTTAGTGGTAGAAGAAGTGAGTGAGTTTAGTTTTACGCCGCACTCAGCAATATTCCAGCTATATGGCGGCGGTTAGATACAGCCTAGATCCGGGTTAGAATTGGTCTTCAGCAACCCATGCTTGTCGTAAGGGGCGACTAACGGGATCGGGTGGTCAGGCTCGCTGACTTGGTTGTCACATGTCATCGTAGATCGATAGTTATGATATTGATCACTGGATTGTGTGGTCCAGACTCGATTATTTACAGACCGCCGCCATATAGCTGGAATATTGCTGAGTGCGGCGGCAATAAACAACTAATGAATAAACGTATTTCTGTAATCGTTACATATACGTATTGACCATGGTGTTTGCTTGTTTCCAGGAAGATTGACTTCAACGAGTTCCTGGAGACTGTGATAGACCGGCAGGGAGACAACAGAGATGTGTACGAGGAAATACTGAAGGGCTTCAACATGTTCGACACAGGTGATAATTCGATATATTCAGTCATACCAAAAAATAAATAGTCTGTTATCGCAATAATGTCATATTTTTAATAATGCCGTTTTCATGTGATCTTTGGTGTATTAATTTCTTTAGAAATACATGTTCGACACAGATGAGTATTCGACATATGCGTTCATGGTTCGTTTGTAAGGAATCAATACGACAGTTTGAAAAGTTTTTTCACGCTGTGAGCTTAAAGTTGGAGTAAAACCCGAGGTGATGAAGATTTTAGAGGTTCACCTTAGACTTACGCTTAGTCTCTGAATTTATATGGTTTTGATAGAAACAAATAAATCTATCTAAATTGAAAAGGAGCCCAGGTGGTTCGTTTGTAAAGACAATAATGTCTTATTTTCCAGCAATCCCGTTTTCATGTGATCTTTGGTATGTTTATCGATTATGAGAACGCGTTGGCGTGTACAGATGTGCTCAGGGTAGGCTGATCGGCGAAACGCACGTAAAATCATACATCAAGCCCTTGGGTGGTATTCTGGTACAGTGTTGTGTTGAACTTGCAGTTGTGTCGAAGTATTATATTGTCTCTAAGTATTTTACGTAGGTTCCTTAAGCTTCGACACTGCTGTGTTTGAATGTATACTTATTAAACAACCATGATGAACAAAATTTACGACTTTGGTAAATTTATGGCATGTTTTGTTTAACTGTTCATCTTTCAAACGCTGACATATAGCTACTATATATAGAAACAACGAAGTGTAGTTGTTACAAACCTGCAAGAAAGCTGTGGAGCCTGATTGCTAGGCATTTGTCGATTAAATTTTCAGTAAAACAGGACCTCAAATGATCTCGAAGAGGATGCCAGGCGCGTAGCAAGCCAATATTGTCGTGTAAGCCCGATAGGTTGCAAAGCTTTTAGTTTAGATAGTATTGAGGACTTGCCCAAACTTTTCAGCAACAATCATGTGTAAGCCCGGGCTTTTTTTATTATGGTAGCTACGCCCCTGGATGCACGCTCACACTGAAAATGAAATACAGTTAAACACCGTTGAGTCGAACTTCGATGTGTCAAACGTATGTCTGTCTCGAAGCAAAACCATGGTCCCTGCGCATTCCTGATGGAGTCATCATTTTGCGGTTTTGTTGAACCTTGGGTAACTCGAAGTAGTTACGTCGGTCCCTGTAACTTCGACACAAGAGTGTTTGACTGTAGTTGCTCCCTAATTCCATGTGTCCCCCTCTGCCTTACAGACGGCTCAGGCTCCATCTCCCAGGAGAACTTGCGCCAGGCGTGTCGAGACGTGGGCATAAAGTTCACGCAGAAGGAGCTGCAGGAGATGATCGAGGAAGCCGACGTCAATGGAGACGGCGTCATTGACAAAGAAGAGTTCATCAGGATCATGCTTCAGACAAACCTATTCTGACCTTGACCTTATGACCTCATATGACCTCTGTATCTCGACCCCCTGGACCCTGGTGCATTGATGCCTGTGTGATTCAAGAATACATGATCTGTGTAGCACAGTGACTTCACAGATGCCATCTGTATCTTTTCGTGGATAGCAGATGTGCAGACGGTACCAGGGGATGAACCCAGAAGCAGAGTACAGTGCAGGGAGCTTAGTATGCCAGCGGTGGACAGGAGCAAGGGGCTGTGTCAAGCTCCTCCACAGCGCCGCCATTGTCACTCGTACCTTGAGATATGAGCGCCACCTGGAGGCACTGGGAGGAGTTGTATTTTGTATTTATGTGTGATCGGGAGGTTGGAGTTTAATGATGATAATCTTTTCAATGCTTTATGAAAACAAGGCCGGGTGCACAAAGAGATCTGAGCACAAAGACTACGATTTATGTAATCGCATGTTGCAGTTTAGAACTGACAGTAGTCATGGTGTTAAGATGAAAAGGGGCCTTTGGAGAAGTGCTTCCATTCATGTCTAAAGTAAGGGATGTTACAATCTGAAGATCCCATACCTTATGGGTATTGAACAAGCAATATTCTTTTAGTGTATATATGCGTATGTCCAACATAATGTGTCATGTAAATAAACATTGCCTCGTTTTCACTCTGTCTTGCTATATCAGTTATTGTGCAGATATCTTGAAAGTAATGTAGACATTTGCAACTTTGAAAATCGTTTGATAAGTTGCAGCAAGTAAACAGGAAAGTTCTTTTAGCTTTGGTTTGGTTTGGTCGTTGTTTAACGCCAAACACCAATTGGTTGGTTGTTGTTTAATGACGCACTCAGCAAAATTCCAGCTATATGACGGCCGTCTGTAAATAATCAAGTCTTGGTCAGACAATCCAACAGCATGAGCATCGTTCTACGCAACTGGGGTGCGATGACATGTGTCAACCAAGTTGGCGACCGTGGCCACCCGATCCTGTCAGTCGCCTTTTCTGACAAGTATGGGTGGCTGAAGACCAATTCTACCCGGGATCTTCACGGGTATCGTTTATCAGGTAAGCAGGAAGTATATATAACAAACCGGGACAGAATTGTGATGCAGTAACACCTGCTTGTAAGAGGCAATTAAATTAATCGGTTAAGACACAGTGTTCTAGTTGTGATTCCCATAATCAATACAGAATCATCGATTGATACTTGGTAAGTATCAAACTTCAGCACCCCATTGTTGTCGTAAGAGGCGACTAACGGGATTAGGTGGTCAGGGTCCTTATTCTCGAAACGTTCTTAGCTCTAAGAAAATTATCTAAGACCTTGATCGTAGCCAATGTGTTAAGAATGGGCTTAAGAAGTTCGTAAGGCTACGAACGTTTCGAGAATAGCTAGCCAGGTTCGCATAGCATCGTGTCCCAGGATGGTGCAAGGCATCGGATCCCAATTGTGTATATGAAAGCTCATGACTTCAATCACTGGATTGTCTGGTCGGGATTCGAGATCTTGAGATCCCAGGCTAAATGTTCGGCTGGGTTATACCGAGTACATAGAGCCCAGGGTCCCGTTGTACAAAACAACCTTAGCACTAAGACTACCTCAAGTCTATGTTAGGGTATGAGAGTCACCTTAGCGCTAAGACTACCTCAAGTCCATGTTAGCGCTAAGATCGTCTATGTACAACGGGACCCAGGTCACTAAATCTATGTTAGAGTCACCTTAAGCTAAGATCGCTATGTACGCGTGACAGTTGTGGACATTAAAGCAACGTTAGTCGCGGACAGTCGTGTGTCAGCTTGACTCTCTGATAGTTCAGTCCTGCCCACAAAAAAGCACATGTAAGCACAACAAAGCACATGTGGTCTCATACTAGGCAAGTGAGTTCGATTGTAAATTGTCTCTGTTTACCCATCAGAGAATGGCTACCCGGTGAGAATGGGACCGTTAACCTTCTTGCGCTTTACAGGCGGCTTGGGTTAGTCGCGGTAAGCGTTTGATTATGCACGCTTTGTAAATAACCATTATTAAACTTGAAATGTTTCACAACACATAATAAAACACAACAACCACTGATCTTTAGATGCACATAATATCTTTAATGTACGAGAACAGAAGAATGCCAGAGGATGTTCTGAATATAACAAAAAGGTGCATGGCATTCCGCAACCAAACGTCCCTCTTTTTCACACCCCTCTTTTTCACTTCCAACACTCCGTACCATTCTCAATAAACTTGCGTGTGAACGGTAGGTGCGGTGAGTGAGGCATTTACGGTAAGCGCGGTGTGGAGGTATCTGCGGTATTCAGGTTGTGTGCGGTGTGTGCGGTATTTACGGTGTGTGCGGTATTTACGTTGTGTGCGGTATTTGTGGTGTGTGCGGTATTTACGCTGTGTGCGATATTTGCGGTGTGTGCGGTATTTACGGTGTGTGCGGTATTTACGGTGTGTGCGATATTTGCGACGTGTACGATATTTCCTGTGTTTGCGGTACTTACGGTGTATGCGTATGTTTGAGTGTGGAATAGAGAGGCGTTTTACAGTGAAACAACTGTTTTAATCATAATCAGAACTACCGATTCCTGTGGCGAAACAAACCGTATACTCGTTGTTAGTTGATGAATTAAAGGGACCAAGTCATAGCCATAAATTGATGGTGAAGTACGTCACTTCATCACTCACAGGAATTAACCCTGAGGTGATTACAGTGATTATAATGGCGTCGTTGGCTTAAGAGTGAAAGAGCACTCAATAGGTAAGAGAGTGAGTGAGTGCGTGGGATTAGTGTTAAGCCGCTTGTAGCAATATTTCAGCAATACCACCAGCAATTGGCTTCAAACTGGGTCGAACCTGTCTTCGGCCTGACTAGCGAACGCTTTAACTACTGGGCTACACCACCGCTCCCACGATAGGTGAAATAAATAACTGACAGAAGATAACAAAACAATCTAGGAATAAAATGGACACGCTGAACTCGTGGAATAAAATGGATGCGGACATAATGGACGACCAGGAAGAAATTGTGTTTGCCAGCTGATACACTGAACGGTGTTATCAAGGAAACATAGAAACTTGAGTGATGGTCGTATACGTCTGTTGACTGATATGTAAAATGAATTTATAATTTTGGGTATTTCTCTCAATAAAATGCCACATATTTCTAAAATTACTCAAAATGTCAATATTCAACATTTCCGAAACTGGGTTTTCCGCCATGCGTTGTGATGTTTTGACTGTTCGTCATTTCTCGGATAATTCCAGGCGCCAGGTGTTGTTTTGAGGCACGACACGATGATCACGGAAAGATCCGAAAGCTGCCGAGTGTTCATTTGAAGCTAAGATAACTCGTACATTTGAAGTCCATGTCTGTATCCACTTTATCATAGAGATGCTACAGGACCAGGCTCAGTGCCAGCCTCCCGCTGTAGACGGCGACGACGTACACCATGGGAGTGAAGACGTTGGTGGCGCCAGTCTACAAGAAGAAATGGTTTGTGAGTAAGTGGGTGAATACAATTATCAGAAGTAAGTCAGTTTATCGGCGAGGCAAAGATACCCAACATGTGAGTGATAGTCTCAACATCCACCGCACAACGTTGTCTCGGCTGTTAGTGTTACTGCTAGACAAGGCTTTTCTTGTAGTTTCTTGGAAAAACAGTAATAGTAGTCTTGAAGTAAACAGTTATAGTAGTCTTGTATAGTAGTGCTTGAGTAAAACACTAGTTGTCTGTATAGTACTGTGCTTGGAGTAAAACAGTAGTTGTCTGTATAGTAGTCTTGAAGTAAACAGCAGTTGTCCTCTGTACAGTAGTATAGTAGTGTGCTGGAGTAAAAACACTAATTGTCTGTATAGTAGTGTGTTGGACGCAAACAGTAGTTGTCTGTATAGTAGTCTTGAAGTAAACAGTAGTTGTCTGTATAGTAGTCTTGAAGTAAACACTAGTTGTCTGTATAGTAGTCTTGAAGTAAAACAGTAGTTGTCTGTATAGTAGTCTTGAAGTAAACAGTAGCTGTCTGTTTAGTAGTCTTGAAGTAAACAGTAGTTGTCTGTATGAAGTGTTCTTGAAGTAAACAGTAGTTGTCTGTATAGTAGTGTTGGAGTAAACACTAGTTGTCTGTATAGTAGTGTGTTTGGACGAAACAGTAGTTGTCTGTATAGTAGTCTTGAAGTAAACAGTAGTTGTCTGTATAGTAGTCTTGAAGTAAACACTAGTTGTCTGTATAGTAGTCTGAAGTGTTGGTAGTCCTGAGTAAACAGTAGTTGTCTGTATAGTAGTGTGTTGAAGTAAACAGTAGTTGTCTGTATAGTAGTCTTTGAAGTAAACAGTAGCTATCTGTATATGGCGGTGTTTGTGAGTAAAATAGTAGATGTGCCTGTGTAGTAGTGTATTGAGAAAACAGAAGTTGTCTGTATAGTAGTCTTGGAGTAGTAAACACTAGTTGTCTGTTTAGTAGTCTTGGAGTAAACAGTAGTTGTCTGTATAGTAGTGTTGGAGTAAACAGTAGTTGTCTGTAGTAGTCTTGAGAGTAAACACTAGTTGTCTGTTTAGTAGTCTTGAAGTAAACAGTAGTTGTCTGTTTAGTAGTGTTGGAGTAAACAGTAGTTGTCTGTTTAGTAGTGTTGGAGTAAACAGTAGTTGTCTGTTTAGTAGTGTTGAAGTAAAAGCAGTAGTTGTCTGTATAGTAGTCTTGAAGTAAACAGTAGTTGTCTGTATAGTAGTGTTGAAGTAAACACTAGTGTTTCTGTTGGAGTAAACAGTGGTTGTCTGTTTAGTAGTCTTGAGTAGTAAACAGTAGTTGTCTGTATAGTAGTGTTGGAGTAAACAGTAGTTGTCTGTATAGTAGTGTTGGAGTAAACAGTAGTTGTCTGTTTAGTAGTGTTGGAGTAAACAGTGTTGTCAGTAGTGCTTGGAGTAAAGCAGTAGTTGTCTGTATAGTAGTCTTGAAGTAAACAGTAGTTGTCTGTATAGTAGTCTTGAAGTAGTGTTGAACACTAGTTGATCTGTATAGTAGTCTTAAAGTAAAACAGTAGTTGTCTGTATAGTAGTCTTGAAGTAAACAGTAGCTGTCTGTATAGTAGTCTTAAAGTAGACAGGAGTTGTCTGTATAGTAGTCTTGAAGTAAACAGTAGTTGTCTGTATAGTAGTCTTGAAGTAGACAGTAGTTGTCTGTATAGTAGTCTTGAAGTAAACAGTAGTTGTCTGTATAGTAGTCTTGAAGTAAACAGTAGTTGTCTGTATAGTACAGTAATGTTTTGGCGACAACGTCAGCTGTACACTAACAGTCACTGTACACTAACGTCAGCTGTAAACTAACGTCAGCTGTAAACCCTCACATGTCAGAACAGAATGTATTGTGAAACGTATAGAAGTCTTACGTTTCCGGCGGTGGTCGTAGCAACTGTAGAACCCGTCCCCCCAGCGACAGTGGTCGGTTGTGCTGAATGATGAGAGCAGGTCGTTAAGCCAACGTTATTTAAGTTTGAGAACAATCGGTAACAATGATATGTGAGTGAGTTTAGTTTTACGCCGCTTTTAGAAATACTCCAGCAATATCACGGCGGGGGCACCAGAAATATGCCCACATTGTACCCATGTGGGGAATCGAACCAGGTCTTCGGCGTGACGAGCGAACGCGTTATCCACTAGGCCACATACCGCCCCTTAACAATGATAAAAATGACCACTCCACATTTGAAACAGACAGTGTGTGAGTGAGTTTAGTTTTACGCCGCTTTTAGTACAGGTATGGATTAACTTGAAAGGGATGTTCCGAAACATGCTCAATATGTTGTCGGTGTTGTATCGGTTTGTTGTATCCAGAACCTTTGTGTCATGAATTAAAGAATATGAAAATATTGTTTGGTGGTCCTCAGTGAAAATAGAAAAACACAACAAATCGATTGTTCTTTTCAGTAGTATATTTTTACGAGACCCTTTCTTGTTTACCGGGGCGGTGGGTAGCCTAGTGGTTAAAGCGTTCGCTCGTCACGCCGAAGACCAGGGTCTTCGATTCCCACTTGGGTACAATGTGAACCCATTTTGGTGTCCCCCGCCGTGAGATTGCTGGAATATTGCTAAAGAGGTGTAGAACTAAATTCACTCACTCACCGGAATTTATTAATCCGGATTCAAAGTCTCACCTATGAAGACTGAGCTAGCAGACAGCGTGATGTTTGACATCTGCCGATTCCCTGAGTCAGTGAGTGAGTGGTGATCATGAGTCAGTTCGTCAGTTTAGTTTTACGCCGCAATCAGCAATATTCCAGCCATATGGCTGCGGTATGTAAATAATCGAGTCTGGACCAGACAATCCAGTGATCAACAGCATGAGCATCGATCTACGCAATTGTGATTCGATGACATGTGTCAACCAAGTCAGCGAGCCTGACTACCCGATCCGGTTAGTCGCCTCTTACGACAAGCATGGATACTGAAGAACAATTCTAACCCGGATCTTGACGGTTTCCTGAGTTTAGTCCTCCAAAAGCACTAATTACCAAGAAAACATAGATCAAGATGACTTACTTGCTGCAGCTGTTGTTGTTGTCGCAGCCATGGTATTAACAACGTAAAGCGAGAGAACAAGAATGGCAATCAAGGTAAACTTCATTGTTCCTGTTGCTTGGGAATCTGAAATGTAATCTATGTTTCAAATTTGGCAAAGAAATGCACACTGGAGCAGGAATCTGGAGAGAATGTAGAACTAGGGGAAGTGGACAACACCACATCTAATGGAGACTGTAGAACCTGGGGGTAGTGGACAATGCCACGTCTAATGGAGACTGTAGAACCTGGGGTACTGGACAACACCACGTCTACTGGACTGTAGAACCTAGGGGTAGTGGACAACACCACATCTAATGGAGACTGTAAAACCAGGGGGTAGTGGACAAATGCATCGTCTACTGGAGACTGTAGAACCTAGGGGTAGAGGACAACACCACGTCTACTGGAGTCTGTAGAACCCAGGGGTAGTTGACAATGCCACGTCTACTAGACACTGTAGAACCCGGGGGTAGTGGACAACTCCACATCTACTGGAGACAGTAGAACCTTGGGGTAGTGGACAACGCTACGTCTACTAGAGAGGGTAGAACCCAGGGTAGTGGACAACGCCACGTCTACTTGAGACTGTAGAACCTGGGGGTAGTGGACAACGCCACGTCTAATGGAGACCGTAGGAACCTGGGGGTAGTGGACAACGCCACGTCTACTGGAGACTGGTGGAACCAGGGGTAGTGGACAACTCCACGTCTACTGGGGACTGTAGAACCTAGGGGAAGTGGACAACACCACGTCTACTAGAGAATGTAGAACCCTAGGGAAGTGGACAACACCACGTCTTCTAGAGACTGTAGTACCTCGGGGTAGTGGACAACGCCACGTCTACTGGAGACTGTAGAACCTGGGGGTAGTGGACAACACCACGTCTACTGGAGACTGTAGAACCTGGGGGTAGTGGACAACGCCACGTCTACTGGAGACTGTAGAACCTGGGGGTAGTGGACAATGCCACGTCTACTGGAGACTGTAGAACCTGGGGTAGTGGACAACAAAATGTCTACTGGGGACTGTAGAACCCGGGGGTAGTGGACAACATCACGTCTACTGGAGACTGTAGAATCAAAGGGTAGTGGACAACGCCACGTCTACTAGGAAAGTGTAGAACCTGGGGGTAGTGGACAACACCACGTCTACTACAGACTGTAGAACCTAAGGGTAGTGGACAACGCCACGTCTACTAGAGAGTGTAGAACCCGGGGTAGTGGACAACGCCACGTCTACTGGAGACTGTAGAAACCTGGGGGTAGTGGACAACGCGTACGTCTACTAGAGAGGGTAGAACCCAGGGTGTAGTGCACAACGCCACGTCTACTTGAGACTGTAGAACTTGGGGTAGTGGACAACGCCACGTCTAATGGAGACTGTAGAACCTGGGGTAGTGGACAACACCACGTCTACTAGAGAATGTAAAACCTAGGGAAGTGGGCAACACCACGTCTTCTAGAGACTGTAGTACCTCTGGGGGTAGCGGACAACGCCACGTCTACTGGAGACTGTAAAACCTGCGGGTAGTCGACAACTCCACGTCTACTGGAGACTGTAGAACCTGGGGTAGTGGACAACACCACGTCTACTAGAGACTGTAGAACCAGGGATAGTGGACAATGCCACGTCTACTGGAGACTGTAGAACCAAAGGGGTAGTGGACAACATCACGTCTACTGGAGACTGTAGAACCTAAGGGTAGTGGACAACGCCACGTCTACTAGAGACTGTAGAACCCAGGGGTGAGTGGACAGCACCACGTCTACTGGAGACTGTAGAACCAGGGGGATAGTGGACAATGCCACGTCTACTGGGGACTGTAGAACCCGGGGGTAGTGGACAACACCACGAATCTACTGGAGACTGTAGAACCAGGGGTAGTGGACAACGCCACATCTACTAGAGAGTGTAGAACCTGGGGGTAGTGGACAATACCACGTCTAGTGGAGACTGTAGAACCAGGGGTAGTGGACAAGACCACGTCTACTGAGAGACTGTAGAACCAGGGGGTAGTGGACAATGCCACGTCTACTGGAGACTGTAGAACCTAGGGGTAGTGGACAACATCACGTCTACTGTAGACTGTAGAACCTAATGGTAGTGGACAACACCACGTCTACTGAGACAGTGTAGAACCTGGGGGTAGTGGACAACACCACGTCTACTGGAGACTGTAGAACTCGGGGGTAGTGGACAACACCACGTCTACTTGAGACTGTAGAACCTAAGGGTAGTGAACAACGCCACGTCTACTAGAGAGTGTAGAACCTGGGGTAGTGGACAACACCACGTCTACTTGAGACTGTAGAACCGGGGGTAGTGGACAACGCCACGTCTACTGGAGACTGTAGAACCTGGGGGTAGTGGACAACGCCACGTCTACTGGAGACTGTAGAACCTGGGGGTAGTGGACAACGCCACGTCTACTAGAGACTGTAGAACCTAAGGGTAGTGCACAACGCCACGTCTACTAGGAGAGTGTAGGACCGTGGGTAGTGGACAACGCCACGTCTACTAGAGACTGTAGAACCAGGGGTAGTGGATAACACCACGTCTACTTGAGACTGTAGAACCAAAGGGGTAGTGGACAACGCCACGTCTACTAGAGACTGTAGAACCTGGGGGTAGTGGACAACACCACGTCTACTACAGACTGTAGAACCTGGGGTAGTGGACAACGCCACGTCTACTAGAGAGTGTAGAACCCGGGGTAGTGGACAACGCCACGTCTACTGGAGACTGTAGAACCTGGGGAGTAGTGGACAACACTACGTCTACTAGAGAGGGTAGAACCCAGGGGTGAGTGGACAACGCCACGTCTACTTGAGACTGTAGAATTTGGGGTAGTGGACAACGCCACGTCTACTGGAGACTGTAGAACCTGGGGGGTAGTGGACAACACCACGTCTACTAGAGAATGTAAAACCTAGGGGTGGTGGACAACACCACGTCTTCTAGAGACTGTAGAACCTCGGGTAGCGGACAACGCCACGTCTACTGGAGACTGTAAAACCTGCGGGTAGTCGACAACTCCACGTCTACTGAGACTGTAGAACCTGGGGATAGTGGACAACGCCACGTCTACTGGAGACTGTAGAACCTGGGGGTAGTGGACAACACCACGTCTACTAGAGACTGTAGAACCAGGGGATAGTGGACAATGCCACGTCTACTGGAGACTGTAGAACCAGGGGTAGTGGACAACACCACGTCTACTGGAGACTGTAGAACCTGGGGGGAGTGGACAACGCCACGTCTACTGGAGACTGTAGAACCTGGGGGTAGTGGACAACACCACGTCTACTGGAGACTGTAGAACCTGGGGTAGTGGACAACACCACGTCTACTAGAGACTGTAGAACCAGGGGGTAGTGGACAACGCCACGTCTACTGGAGACTGTAGAACCCGGGGGTAGTGGACAACACCACGTCTACTGGAGACTGTAGAACCTAAGGGTAGTGGACAACGCCACGTCTACTAGAGACTGTAGAACCCGGGGGTAGTGGACAACACCACGTCTACTGGAGACTGTAGTAGAACCAGGGGGTAGTGGACAAGACCACGTCTAGTGGAGACTGTAGAACCAGGGGTAGTGGACAAGACCACGTCTACTAGAGACTGTAGAACCAGGGGATAGTGGACAATGCCACGTCTACTGGAGACTGTAGAACCTAGGGGTAGTGGACAACATCACGTCTACTGTAGACTGTAGAACCTAATGGTAGTGGACAACACCACGTCTACTGGAGAGTGTAGAACCCGGGGTAGTGGACAACACCACGTCTACTGGAGACTGTAGAACTCTGGGGGTAGTGGACAACACCACGTCTACTTGAGACTGTAGAACCTAAGGGTAGTGAACAACGCCACGTCTACTAGAGAGTGTAGAACCTTGGGGTAGTGGACAACACCACGTCTACTTGAGACTGTAGAACCTGGGGGTAGTGGACAACGCCACGTCTACTTGAGACTGTAGAACCTGGGGTACTATACAACGCCACGTCTACTGGAGACTGTAGAACCTGGGGTAGTGGACAACGCCACGTCTACTAGAGACTGTAGAACCTAAGGGTAGTGCACAACGCCACGTCTACTAGAGAGTGTAGGACCGTGGGGTAGTGGACAACGCCACGTCTACTAGAGACTGTAGAACCAGGGGCTAGTGGATAACACCACGTCTACTTGAGACTGTAGAACCTGGGGGTACTGGACAACGCCAAGTCTACTGGATACTGTAGAACCTGGGGTAGTGGACAACTCCACGTCTACTGGAGACTGTAGAACCTGGGGGTAGTGGACAACGCCACGTCTACTAGAGACTGTAGAACCAGGGGCTAGTGGATAACACCACGTCTACTTGAGACTGTAGAACCTGGGGTACTGGACAGCACCAAGTCTACTGGATACTGTAGAACCTGGGGGTAGTGGACAACTCCCACGTCTACTGGAGACTGTAGAACCTAGGGGTAGTGGACAGCACCACGTCTACTGGGGACTGTAGAACCCAAGGGTTAATGGACAACGCAACGTCTACTAGAGACTGTAAAAATCTTGTGGTAGTGAACAACGCGACGTCTACTGGGGACTGTAGAACCTAGGGGTAGTGGACTGCACCACGTCTACTGGGGACTGTAGAACCTGGGGTTAGTGGAACACGCCACGTCTACTAGAGACTGTAAAAACCTTGTGCTAGTGAACAACGCCACGTCTACTGGGTACTGTAGAACCTAGGGGAAGTGGACAACACCACGTCTACTAGAGATTGTAGAATCTGGGGGTAGCGGACAACACCACGTCTACTAGAGACTGTAGAACCTGGGGGTAGTGGACAATGCCACGTCTACTGGAGACTGTAGAACCTGGGGGTAGTGGACAACACCACGTCTACTGGAGACTGTAGAACCTAGGGGTAGTGGACAACACCACGTCTACTAGAGACTGTAGAACCTGGGGTAGTGGACAACACCACGTCTACTGGAGACTGTAGAACCTGGGGTTGTGGACAACGCCACGTCTACTGGCGACTGTAGAATCTGGGGGTAGTGGACAACGCTACGTCTACTGGGGCCTGTAGAACCTGGGGGTAGTGGACAACACCACGTCTACTAGGGACTGTAGAACCAGGGGTAGTTGACAACACCACGTCTATTAGAGACTGTAGAACCAGGGGATAGTGGACAACACCACGTCTACTAGATACTGTAGTACCTCGGGGTAGTGGACAACGCCACGTCTACTGGAGACTGTAGAACCTGGAGGTAGTGGACAACGCCACGTCTACTTGAGACTGTAGATCCTGGGGGTAGTGGACAACACCGAATCTACTGGAGACTGTAGAACCTAGGGGTAGTGGATAACACCTCGTCTACTGGGACTGTAGAACCTGGGGGTAGTGGACAACACCACGTCTAGTAGAGACTGTAGAACCTGGGGGGGTAGTGGACAACACCACGTCTAGTAGAGACTGTAGAACCTGGGGGTAGTGGACAACGCCACGTCTACTAGAGACTGTAGAACCTGGGGGTAGTGGACAATGTCACGTGTAGTAGAGACTGTAGAACACGACTGTGGTGGACAATGCCACGTCTACTGGAGACTGTAGAGACCTGGTGGTAGTGGAGAACGCCACGTCTACTGGAGACTACTGAATACTGTAGAACCTAGGGTTTGTGGACAACTCCACGTCTACTGGGGACTGTAGAACCTGGGGTTAGTGGACACCACGTCTACTGGAGACAGGAGAACCTAGAGTTAGTGGACAACACCACTTGTACTGAGACTGGAGAACCTAGGGGTAGTTGATAACACCACGTCTACTGGAGACTGGAGGGAACCTGGGAGTAGTGGACAACACCACGTCTACTGGGGACTGTAGAACCTGGGGTTAGTGGACACCACGTCTACTGGAGACTGGAGAACCTGGGAGTAGTGGACAACACCACGTCTACTTGGGACTGTAGTACCTGGGGTTAGTGGACAACACCACGTCTACTGGAGACTGGAGAACCTGGTGGTAGTGGACGACACCACGTCTACTTGAGAATGTAAGAGCTAGGGTTAGTGGTGGAGATCTAATCTGCAGGGCAAATGAATGTCATCTGTACGTTTGAAAACTGGATTTGACCAAAAGACAAACGCTACCAGAATGAAAACAGTTCCAAAACCTAAGGCCCAAAAACCCACTATCCTAATCGTATCAAGCACTTAATGAATAACGATTGATATCTGTCCCAGTTTCAGCCACCATCAGATATGGTGTAGCCCTCTCTCAATGAATGAGTAAAGTGAGTTTAGTTTTACGCCACTTTTAGCAATATTCCAGCAATATTACGGCAGGGAACACCGAACATGGGCTTCACACACTGTGCCAATGTGGGGAATCAGAACCCGGTCTTCGGCGTGACGAGCGAACGCTTTAACCACTAGGCTACCCCACCGCCCCTCTCTCACAATGAAGCATCGGGAGCAGGGAGACGTGGGCATTGTGTCTCTCAGCAGTGAGTTTAGTTTCACGCCGCTTTTAGCAATATTCCAGCAATATCACGGCGGGGACTCCAGAAATGGGCTTCACACATTGTACCCATGTGGGTTATCGGACCCGGGTCTTAAGCGTGATAAGCGGGTGGTTTTACCCTCGGCTACCCCAGCGTCCCGTCATCTCACTAGATTCAGAAGATGTTCTATAGTGTCTATAATTTTAATATATCAAAATAATTTCTTTTAAATGTACACCGATGAAGTTTCAACGTCTTTCAAGTATTACAAGATTATCACATATAAAGTAAAATCTCCAAAACTATGTTACCGAAGGTATTCTACGTGTGACCAAACACACTTCACCCCTCAGTCACCCCCACACAAATACCCTGTACCTACCTCAGCAGCTATCACCCCCCACAAATACCCTGTACCTACCTCAGCAGCTATCATCCCCCCACAAATACCCTGTACCTACCTCTGCAGCTATCACCAGATCGACCTGTACAGCAAGCCCGCGCGGGACCCTTTTAAGTCATCTTTTAGACGAGTTTAAGTTCAAACATGGAAGGTAATACTGAAAATGAATAATTTTACTCATCCGCAATACACAAAACCTAATATGTTTTCAATGTCTAT